TGGGGACAGGAGCGTAGGGGACAGGGGCATGCTGGGCTGGAGGCAGATGGAGATGGGGGTGCACAGGGAGGGGGCACAGGGGTACAGCGGACGGCTGGGAGTACCCGGGGATGAGTCACATGGGCACAGGGCCACCCAGCCCCACTGCTGCCAGTGCCAGGTCTCTGTACAGGCAGGGCCACCCCAGCTCCCTCAGCCTGGCATGCAATGAGCTGGACGGCCTCAGCTTGGGGCAGGCTGGGGGGAGTCCAGGAACCACCTCTGCTCCTGGTGGGGCCATATCACCCCCTTTTGCCCCCCACCCCCCCCATGCAGGTGCCGGGAGAGGTGCCCGGTGGGGCGGTACGGGCAGGATTGCCAGGAGAGCTGCGACTGTGCCAACGGGGGCCAGTGCTTCCACGTGGACGGGGGCTGCCTGTGCGAAGCCGGCTTTCAGGGCAGCCGCTGCGAGGAGCGGCTGTGCCTACCCGGCCTCTACGGCCTCCACTGCCAGAGCCGCTGCCTCTGCCACCCCCAGCACAGCCAGAGGTAGGACCCCCCATCCCACCCTGGCTCCGCCCCAGCACCCTTGCCTCCCCCCTGCACCATCACCTCTTCCAGCACCCCCACCTTCCCCCCAGCACCCTCACCTCCCCTCAGCACCCTCGCTGAGCAAGCTGGGATGCTGGCTGGGTGGCCAAGAAGAGGTTAAACCCTCTCTGGGGCAGGTGCTTTGTGCCCCCCTCCCATTTGCAAAGCTCCTTCCCAGCACACCCAGTGCCCCATACTGGGAGCACATGGGTGCTAAGCGGGTACCCCCCCAGCTGCCACCCATTGCTCGGGGAGTGCGTCTGCCACCCTGGCTGGGCCGGGCTCTTCTGCAACGAAAGTTGCCCCCCCGGTTCCTTCGGGGCCGGCTGCCTGCAGACCTGCCTCTGCCTCCATGGGGGGACCTGTGACGGGACCACTGGCCGCTGCCACTGCCCCCCCGGCTACACGGTGTGGGGGGCACGGGGGGGCTGGTGGT